GATAGTGACTCGTGAATTGCCCATTGAGGACAACAGAACCCTGTTCTTCAAAAAACAATTTAGCCACGCCCTCCGTAAAAGTGACCCTGGCTATACGGCCAGGACATTCTTGAATGGAAACTACTTTATGTTGCGATTCCACTGCAAAATAGGCATTGATGTACTTAACCACCTCAGATTGTAACGTTCCAGCGGGGAAACCAGTACACTGAATGTCAATGGTCTTCTCCAAAGGCGGAGCCATGGAGAAAAAAGAAAAAAAAGGGAGCAAAAGGGAAAAGCCTAAAAAGCCCCAAACGGCTGACCCACCAAGTTCAGACCCAACCAAAAAAACAAAAAATTGGATGGGTGACGAACAGCGAAGAAAGAAAAAGACAACAGCAAAGCTTTCCCTCCCGGCAGGTACTCACAAGTGCAGAAAAGGCAAATACGACAAGATACTTACAATTGTCCTGACCAAAATGACCTCCTCACCAACAAGAAAAAATCCCGCGTCATGTGGGTCTCTTCAATGCAGTGCAGACACTGGGCCAAGCTCTGGAATAAACTATTGCCTGGGCGCTACACTTGTGGGACCAAGTGCAAGCATCTTGCCATGCGAGAGTGCTCAAATCACAACTAAGGTGATGAGCTTCACCCGTTATATATATATGTATAACAAAGAACAGATCGCAAAACTACAAGCTTTTAACACCCTAAAAGACCATAAAGATAACTTCGCCAACCACCCTAAATGCCGCCTCATAAACCCCGTAAAAAGTGAACTCGGAAAAGTCAGCAAACAAATTCTCGACAACACTGACTCAAAAATGAGAAAAACAACGAAGCTCAACCAGTGGAAAAACGCATCAGATGTAATTAATTGGTTCACCGGGATACCCAGCAAGCAAAAGCATTCGTTCGCCTCGTTCGACATCGACAGCTTCTACCCATTCATCATAGAATCTCTTCTCTCTAAAGCAATTTCTTTTGCCAAGAATTACACCACAATCAGCGACAAATACATTGAAATAGTCATGCACTGCCAGAAATCGCTTTTATTCGACGAGACCGCCTGAACCAAAAAGACCAAAGCAGCATGTTCGATGTCACCATGGGCAGCTTCGACGGAGCGGAAGTTTGCGAGCTTATCGGACTTTTGCTCCTGAACAACCTCGGCGAAAAATACGGCAAGCACAATGTAGGACTCTAAAGGGACGACAGGCTGGTGCTTCTAAGAAACACAAGCGGACCACAATCTGAATGGACCAGAGAGGACATCACACGTGAATTCAAGAAACTAGGCCTGAACCTCTCTATAAGCACAAACCTCAAAATCTGCAACTTCCTCGACGTCACCCTAAACCTCGCGGACAGAAGCCACTATCCATACAGAAAGCCCAAAAACAAAACCCTTTACATCAACACCAATTCAAACAACCCGGCGACAATGATAAAACACATACCGACAACAATTGGCCGACGAATCTCCGACATCTCCTCAAGCAAAGAACTCTACAACAAAACCAAGCCACACTACAAAAGTGCCCTCAAACAAAGCGGACACGGCGAAAAGCGAAAAACTAACCTACACCGAACACAAGAAACCTGAAACTCACAACCGCAAGAGCAGACAGAAACATAATTTGGTTTAATCCGCCCTACAGCATGAACGTGCAAACAAACATTGGCAGAGAGTTTCTGATCCTCGTCGGCAAGCATTTTCCAAAAAGTCACTGGTACAACAAGATTTTCAACAAAAACTGCATAAAAGTTAGCTATAGCTGCACTGACAACCTGCAAACCATAATTAAGAAACACAACAGGAAAATCCTTGAGACAAGCATAACACCCCCGACAGAAAACAACTGTAACTGCAGGAAAAAAAAAACCACTGCCCTCTGAAAAACAACTGCCTCACTTTAAGCGCCGTCTACAACGCCAACGTAGCAACTGAAAATGACACAACTGGAAAGAATTACATTGGACTAACGGAAGGAACCTTTAAACAATGCTACACGCAGCAAAAACTTTCTTTTCGAAACAGAAACTATTCAAGCAGCACGGAACTATCAAAGTATATCTGGACACTCAAAGACAGCAACACCAACTTCACAATTAACTGGAGTATTTTTGCGACCGCCCCGGCCTACAACAACTAAAGCAAGCGGTGCCACTTGTGCCTCACAGAGAAACTTCATATAATCAGAGCTAAGAAGCCATCTGTAGTAAACAAAAGAACAGAACTTATTTCTAAATGCCGACACGAGAATAAATTTTACTTATCAAATTTCACAAATTTCACAAGCCACCAACAATAGCCCCAGAGAATAGTTAATTATTCATTTATTTCATCGCACCAGCGAATTAGGTAACTACTATATATATGGAGGTATGTTCTTTATTGAATAAAATTCTGTCTGACGAGCGCTTTGGCGGGAAACTCAGAGTAACAGAGAATCGATGCGTCCTCTTTGATTCTTCAACTAATGTATACCAAGCTCTGCTAACACCGCATTGAGCACTTTATGCCAAGTATGCCAAGGTAGACTCTACCCTCACATAAATATATATACATATATATATATATATATATGTATCCGTAATTGGATCCTCCTTTGTCATCCGCTAAGTTGACTTTGCTCGTGTTTCTTTAATAGATCCTTAGTTGGGTTTCATATGAGGTTATAGGCTTCCCCTACTCTGTCACCTTGAAAATTAAATTTCCCGCGAGACCACGTCTCCGATCACGTAAATCACATCTTCAATTGCCGTGTTGCCAGCATGGTTGTCCTGATAGTGTAGTGGTAATCACACCTGACTAGTAACAGGGGGACGTGGGTTTAAATCCCGCTCAGGGCAAATTTTCTTTTCAAACATTTATTCTATTTATATATATATATATATGAAAGCAGAAATGTAATGGTCAAGAGGCCAACTCCAATGTAGCTTTGTTGGTTTATTAGCTCGACGTTTCGACCATCTCGGTCCTCCTCAGGAGCATACTAATTACATGAGCAATATTCAAATTTAAAATTCGTGTCAACAGTAAATATATCATGACGTAATAATATAAAAATAGAATAGATAACAGCGAAACGTGTTATGGTGACTAAAATAGATAAGTTAAAGTAGTTATAATTCATGTAGTGAGCTTATTGATAGTAGGATTGAGTCTTAAAATCCAACAATTTTCTCTTGCTTTTCTGATTTCTTGATTTTGACTTCTAACTTTTTCAATAACCGTAAGTTTAAGATGGTCGACTCCACAATTCTTAAAATGTCTGACAGAGGGTATGTTTTTATGTCCACCCTTGATGTCGCTACGGTGTTGATTGCCAC